CACAGTGGCTCATCATCACCCCCATCTTCTATGGCAGTGGTGAGAGTGGCCCGGGAGGAGCCTGCGTACCCGATGGTTTGTCCCCTGGTGGGGAAGCCAAACTTAAGAATGTTTAGTCCTGTGATGGAAAAAGCATCTCGGAAATCTGCCCGACATTTGTCTCCGTGGAGATACAATCTTTGTTTTCTCAGCACAAACAGGCCCAGTGCGGAGGAACATATTATACTCTTGTGCTGAACACTAAACAAACACTTTTTTTTTTTTTGGTCTTTTTGAGACAGAGTCTTGCTATGCAGTTTGTGGGAAGCCGTTAACTGGTATTCATTTTATAATAGTGTCAGCCATTTTCTTAAGTTTCTGTTCTCCTGCTGAGTTAAGTTTCTGCTCCTTCCCGCCTTGCCCATTCCCCGTGAATCACGCGCTATGCCCCAGGGGTGGGACCTTCCTCCATTGCCTAGATACCCGCTGACCCCAAGAGCCAAGACTTCCTCATTCCTACACTCCCTATATATACCCAGCACCTCCCCTAAATAAACAAGACTCGATCAGAATCCTGTCTTGTCTCCATTCTTTGTGTCTTCTGTCCCTTCTCATCCCTACTCCCCCTCTAGGGTCCTCGTTGACTAACCCGCGGGTCGGGACAGCAGTTCAGGCAGGCCTTGAGCTCATTTTGTAGCCCAGGCTGGTCTCCAACCCAACAATCTTCCTGCCTCTGTCTCCTGAGTGCTGGGGTTACAGGTGCGCTCCACCATGCCTGGTGATGACAAACACATTGAAGGAGAACAATATCTTCATCGTCCTCAACATTGAAATGGCCAAATTACTTTCTGCTTTAATGTTCTTGATAGTCCAGGCCAAAGTGGCGTTAATTCTTGTTTGGAAGGCATAGAGTCATGAGGTACCCACGGGGACATTGCCCCCCACACCACGCAGCTCGAACCTCCACGCTGGCAGCAGCAGAGCTCCAGTTTCTTCCTCCCCGTCTCCACCCACTGCATCTGCGTCCCCACAGCCTCAGCCAGCTGCTGTGCCAGTTGCCAGCGGTGGCAAGAAGAATGTGTGGGTTTGATCTGGATGTGCAAGGCCTGCCCTCGTGTCAGTGTCTGTGTGCGGCTCTGACCTTGGAGAGACGTGCAGGTGTCACACATAGAGGCTCATCCTCCTCTGATCCTGACAAGCCTGCTTGGTACCTGTGCATAGTACAGGTGTGTGTGTGTGTGTGTGTGTGTGTGTGTGTGTGTGTTGGGAGGGCCAAGCCTGACCTGTCCATCTCCTTCCCACACGCATGGATCATGTCCCCAAATGAGAAACCTGATAAATAACACATATGGAGGATCTGACTCTGAGGGTGGCCTGGATAGATAAAGATCTCTTGGCCTGTGTTTCTCCATCTCCAGGATGTGTCTTACCGTCAGTGCCTGGCCCTGTGTCTAGGAGTAGCCAGGAATCTGGCCTGCTTGGTGCATACGGGCTCTCTGGATCCCTGAGCACCTGGTCTGAGGAACTGAGAGGAGCCTGAGTATCGGGACACCGATATTGTTTTGGAAAACAGTGGATTTGAAAGGCTAGGCAGTGTGCTCGGGGGGATGCCAGAGTCTTCATATTTATGGATCTGGAGTAGTAGGTGCTGCCACTTTGTAGCCTTGGCTTACTGGGAGGGCAAGAGTATTCAGGTAATCTACCATTTAAATTAAGATCTTCTATCGACAAACAGTATTGAGGGAGTTTTGGGAGCCAAAGCCCGTATTTCAGGGAGTATGGGGACAGGAGGGACTTGTATTTTCTTTCTGAGAGGTGAAGGAATTGGGGTGTCTCAAAACTCAGTACAGGGGCTGGTGAGATGGCTCAGTGGTCTAAAGCACCTACTTACAACAAGCTAAGCAAAAGCACAGCGACTGCGGTTCAATCCCCCAGCACCACATGCCAGCCAGCCCCGCCCCCTGGTGGACTGAGCTGGCCACACACACACACACACACACACACACACACAATAAATAAATAAATAAATTAAAAAAAAAACTCAGTACAAGCATTTAAGGGTGCTCTGGCATTCGGGCATGACAAGGACTTGCAGCTCAGTCACACTGGTGTTCAGCGATTCCTCACAACCCCTGCTGCGTGCTCCCTTGGTCTCTCCTCACTTTTCTGCCTTCAGCAGCTGCAGGCCCTGCGCCGTGAGAGCTCAGACTTGGGAGACCATCCAGAATGACCTGTGGCCCACGGGACGTGAGGTGCTCCTTGGCCGCCTCTTCCAGCCCCCCGAGGCTGCCTCATCTCAGAGCCATGGGGAGGGCCACGGCCAACACCTGTGCCAGGTGGGGAATGGGACCCTTGAGGGATGAGGGCTTTTAAAAGACTCTCCAGCTCCTACCCGCCTGCCTGCCAATGGATGCTGCAGTTGCTGTGTGGCTCCTGGCTCTGTGCCTGGCTCTGTCCCTGGGTGAAGTTGGTGAGCAGGATGGAGGGGCAAGGGCGTGAGGGACCCTGCTGTCACAGGGCCTCGAGCCCTACCAGCCTTTCCCTTCCCACTCAGCACTCCAAGCTCAGTCCCCCAGCTCACCGAGTGCCCACCTGTGGGTGCCACTCTTCCCAGTTTCTCCTCCCCCAGCCTCCCAGTGGGGTCACACCCTTCACAGTTGCCGTTTTCCCACCCCAGCCTCCTGCTTTCTCCCTGCCCTGGAAGTCTCCCCTTCTCTAGCCCACTTCCACGGGGGCCAGACCTGGGCCATCTCGATCTTTTCAGGGTTCTCCAGCTCTTTTTTCCCCCATAATTTTATTGATAAACAGATAGCAATGAGACAGTTTCAAATCAAATCTCTAGGACAGTTTCAATAACTAACACACTGCATATATTCTTCTTAGTGGTTAATTGCTGTACAAGATGCGGACTTGAGATCCTACTTACAAACACCATTAGAACAAATCATTCTATTCATTAAGAGAATGCAACTATATATCTATCTTAACCACTCTGAATACACAGATACAAAATGGACATTCATCTGTATATCCCTTTTTTCTAAGTTCCGTTATTTGAATATTGTAGGTGTGTAAAGTCAGCAAAATATTCTAAAATCTCCAGCTCTTTTGAAGGCTCCTACCCACATGTCCCTGGACCTCTGATCTTGTCCTCCTACTGCACAGTTCTCTACGCCTCAGTGGTCTGGCTCCTGAGCCCCCAAGTTCCTTCACACGTTATGCATATCCCAGTTGCTCTCAGTGCTCAGGCCTGTTCCCTAAATATTGGGTCCTTTTTGCACACGCTAAAGTCCCAGCCCAGGCCTCAGATGTTTGCACAGCTCGAGAAATGGTAAGCCAGCCCCTGTGTCCTTTCCTGCCAGCCTCCGGCCCACAACAGTAGCTTCTTTATCTTCTTCCTGGGTCCAAGTCCAAATCCATCCCAGTTTCCTTTTCCCTGGTCCCAACCCCAAATCATCCCCGTGATCCAAAAACTGCGGCCCCTTCCAGAGGCAGCCTTGCTGTCTTCTGCCCTCATTTCTGGGGTCAGCTCAGTTCTCAGACCCCGAGGAGCAGTCTCACGGAACGCAATGACAGCTCCAGAATTCTGGGCTCTTCCCGACATCTCTGGCCCAGGTGTCCTGACGTCCAGCGCTGGTCCCTGTCCCCATGTGCCTTCCAATGGGCAGCACAGCTCTCTGTCCCAATCCCAGTGCCCTGGGCCCTCCTGTCCACCCTGCACCCCTGACCCTTTACTGTCTGCAGGTGCTGTGCACCCTACTCTGCCTGGAATCACTTGAGTCTCGAAGAGCCAGAATAAGTCCAAACCCTGGCAGGCAGCTCTTTTCCGGAACAGGAGATTTTATTGTGGGGAGTCCTGGTGCACCCCCAGTGGGTGCTCACGGCCGCCCACTGCCTCGGAGGATGAGTAGGCTTGGGGTGCAGCTGAGTGCTAGAGCACTTGCCCAGTTTGGGTTCAATCTCATGCACCCCTCTGTCCGCCGCAACAGTGACGAGGGCCAGGGCTCTGAGGAGAAGGAGCTGGGCATCGTCCTTGGATGCCCTCATGGGAGGCAGCGAGGGAGAGGAGGAAGGTACTCCGGGAGGCCAAGTGAGAGGTGCTGAGCCTGACCGCCCAGGCCAGGGCCACCTAGGTCTCTCTCTGCCTCTCTGTCTCCCTCTCTCCTGTCCCACTGTCTCTGCATCTCTCTCCCTTTGTCCATGTCTGTGTGTCTCTGTGGCCTTCTGTGTCACAGTGTGTTCCCCATCTGAGTCTCTCTGGACTCCCATCTCAGCCCCTTCCCCATCCCTGCTGACCACACTCCCAGGGCCAGGGGGACCCCAGAGGAGAGGAAGGGGTGCATCCGAACCTGTATGGGGTGGTTCTCACCCCTCCCAGCCTCTCCCTACAGGACTCTCCTCCTACCTGGAAAGGACTGCCTGAGCTGGGCTAGGGGGAAGAGGGTAAGAAGGAGGGGGAGGGGGCAGGAGAGTGTGAAGAGCAGCAGGGGGCGCTAGCCTTGGGCTGGGGGTCCAGGCCGCTTGCTGGGAGCCCTCCACAGCCCAGCAGCTCTCAGGCTCCCAAGCCCAGCCTCCTCCTCTCCTTCCCCCTGCCTCTCTCTGCCCTGCCTCTCTCTGCCGAGGGCCTCTGGCTCCTGTGTCTCTCCTGTGTCCTTTCTGCTCCCCAGTCCTCCCCTTGGCCTCTGGTCCCTCCTTCCTTGCGCACTTTTTCTTGTCCCCTGTTGTGTCCCCCCCCAGCACCTCACTGCTCACTGTCCTTTGTCCTCACTCCCTGCCTTCCCCCGCAGCTGCCTCTTTCCCTGTCCTCCCTGTACCCTCCCTCCTTCTGAGTTCCTGGCTGTCTCTCTCTTTCCTCCATCTCCTTCCACCTTCCTCCCTCCTCATTCTCCCCATCTTCTTTCCCCAGAAAGTACCAGGTCTGGCTGCATCGTCGCCACAGGCTGTTTGATGACGAGGAAGACACAGGTCAGCTCGTCCACGGCAGGCAAAGCTTCCCTCAGCCACAGTTCAACCTGAGCCTCATGAAGCCGCACAACAGCTACGCCCACGACCTCCATAGCCATGACCTGATGCTGGCCCACCCGAGGGAGCCCGCCCAGATCTCGGACTCCTTGAAGGACCTGGAGCTGCCCACGAAGGGACCCGCCGTGCGGAGGAGGTGCTTCATGTCAGGGCGGCGCAGGGCAGATAAGTGTACGTTAGGGACCGGTCAGGGTGGCCTGCGGCGGACGCTCGGGTCTGAGAGCTGGAGGGTGGGAACCCTCGGGTGTAGACACAGCCCCGCTCCCCCCTGGCCTGCAGACGTGTCCCCCGACCGTCTCCAGTGTGTGGACTTCAAAGTCCCTCGCCAAGCAGCGGTGTGAGAAAGGCCCCAAGAGCGGGTGAAAGACACGATGCTGTGTGCTGGTGTTTTCGGAGGTGGTGGACCTCACTGCGTGGCGAGTCACCCTCTCCTACTGTACTCCGCAAGGCTTCAGAACGGCACTGGCCCAGGCTGTCCATATTCCGCCTGGGACTCCTCCCATTCCTTCTCATGGCTGCCTCCAGGTGCCACACGCTCCTCTCCTCACCCCAGCTCTCCGCTGCTCACAGCGCCCACTCATGGATGTCCACCTGGTGCCTGGCACTGCCCTTGAGCCCCGGAAGACAGTGCCGAGCAGGGACCGCCCCGTGCTGGGGGGGGGGAGAGGAAGGGAGGGGCAGAAACAGGAAACTAATGCAGAAGAGATGTGGGGGAAGCAGTGTGCGTGGGCGGCAGGAGAGATGGGGCTGGGGGACATTTTGTGCAGTGAGAGACGCCTAACAGGACGCAGGTGGAGGTGACCCTGTGGCTCCCGGGAAGAGCAGAGGGCAGGGCGGGCGCTGAGGCCCCTGGCGGAGAGGGCCTGGAGGCTGTGTGGCTGGCAGCATGTCAAGTGATGGGCCTGAGCCCAGGGTCCTGTCCTGAGGGGACTCAGCTGGGCCACTGGATCTCGTTGCGTTTTTTTCCTCTGCTAATCCGAAACTGTGGTTGGTGCAGGGCCTGACTTTGCTCACGGCTGACCTCTAGTGCCCGCGTGGGGATCAGACTGCAGGATGCGGGGGCCAGCAGAGCCTGTGGCTGCCCTGCAGCGTGAGGGTCCTGCAGCTGCTCCTCCCACAACCTGTGTGAGGCCCTGTGCTCCTGGCCCCTGCCCTCTCTGCAGGTGCTGGGATCTGCCCTGCCTTCCCACTGGCCAGGATGCCAGCCACTGTCCCCTGTAGGGATCTCTGCCTGTCTTCTGGGAATGGAGAAATTCGTCTGTTTTCCCACTACTGCAGAATTGCACTTTATGGTCAACCAGCCTGCATCTGACAAATGGGGTCCCCCAGGCAGAAGTTAGGGCTGGTATTTTATGTTCTCAGTGTGACTTGGGGGGCCCGCTCATCTGTAATGGTGTGCTTCAGGATCTCATGTCATGGGGCAGTGATCCCTGTGGCCAGCCTGGAAAGCCTACCCTGTATACCAAGCTGGTGGCTTACAGGAAGTGGATCAAAGACCACCCTCGTGCGCCCTGCCTGCCTGCTGGGCACAGAGTCAGAGCTGGGTTTCTACGTCCTACTCAGCTCTGCTGCCATTTCTCCCTGTGACTTTCTCTCTGTCTCTGGCCCTCAGAGTGACTCTGGAAATGCGTTGCTCTGCAGTGATGTCCTCTAAGGAATAATAAATAGCTGTGGGCCAAATCCCTTGTGACCGCCGCCTGCTTCCTGCTATCTTCCCCAAAGTGCCATCCTATATGGCGGGATCAAGGCCACCTTAGTGGCCAACCCCTGAGTGCCTGCCCTTACCTGACAGCCCTATTAAAATGGAGTGTTAGAAAATTTTGCTGTTGTCTTCTTTCCAGATGGCATCAGGGGACCCAGAGGTCAGTGCCCAGCTCCAGACCCGCATGCTGCATATGGAGTCATGGAAGCAACAGGAAGGAAGGGCGGACATAGTTGTGTGGCGATGGATTTTGGTCTTAGGCAGCTCGCCCTTTTGGAGGACGTCACACACTGAAGGGAGATGTGTTCTAATGCAGGGAATGCAAGCACACTTGGAGGGAAGTCAGCGAAGCCCTGTGAGGTGGTGCAGAGCTGATGCAAGCCTGCCCGGGGAAGGGAGGGCGATGCATGGTTGAGGCTGTGCAGGGCGCATTTAACGGGGGCTGGAAGTGGAGCACACAGACACCCAGCGGCCCTTCGTGAGGAGGCCCTCGCCTCTGTGAGGAGCAGCGTGAATGGAGGATGGGTCGTACCAGTCAGCCTGTCATGCTGTCTGTAGGCCAGAGGTCCTGGGACAGTGAAGCAAGCTGCTGAGAAAATGAGGAAAATCTCCAGAGACAGCTGGTGAGAGAAAGGATTAACTAAGGCCATAAAAGAAAGTGATGGTGTTAACTGCTGCTAACAGCATGGAAAAGTCCACTAGAAGGGATATTAAGAGAGTCCTACTGTTTGGCTGTGTCATGGTTTGTGTGTGTCTGTCCCCTCAAAGCCTCATGCAGTCAATGAGGCGCAGTTCTAGAATTTGTGATTAGTTTATGATGGAAGGCTGGGATTATGGGTCTGAGTACTGCTGGGATTATGGGTCTGAGTGCTACACCCAGCCTTGGGGCGGATAACCTGAATGCAACATAAGCGAGACAGACTCGCTCTCTGAATCCACTGCTGCCTCTGCTCCTCCATGTGCTCTTGCTTTTTGCCACTGCTATGAACTGCTGCTCTCTGCCTTGAGCCAGTGAGTATGGACTGAAACCTCCAGTAACTGTGAGCTAACTAAACCTTTCCTTCCTTCATTTTGGGCGTTGGGTATTTGTCCCAACGAGAGAAGAGTAACTGAGACAGGCTGGAACTACCATCTTCCAGTGGTTTGCCAGTAATGTTGTCTAGGTCTTTTAGAAAAAGGAAGGTGGCTCCTCTGACCACATACATGCGAATCTACACAACAGGTGATATTGTAGGCATCAAGGGAATGGGTACTGCACAAAAAGGAACGCCTCACAAATGTTACCATGGCAAAACTGGAAGAGTCTACAGCATTAGCCAGCATGCTGTTGGCATTGTAAACAAACGCTTTCAGGGCAAGATACTCACCAAGAAGATTGATGTGCCTACTGAGCGCATGAGTCATGATAGCGTCCTGAAACACATCAAGGAAAAGGATCAGAAAAAGAAGGAAGCCGAGGCAAAGGTACCTGGGTTCACCTGAAGCACCAGCCTGCCCCGCCCAGAGAAGGGCACTTGGGAGAACCAATGGGCAGGAGCCTGAGGTGCTGGAACCTGTTCCCCGTGAATTCCTGGCATAAGCTGGGGGTGGAGCTCTGCCGTTCAGCACCTAATTGGCAGCTAAGTGTTCTAGATCGTACTTAAAAAAAAGAAAATCCTGTGTTATAAGGGTGGTTTCCTTAGTGGAGCAGGAGTGTGGTGCTTTTTTTTTTTTATTTTTAAGCTCACAAATAAATATTTGGGGCAGACTATTTTATCTTTTTTTTTCTCATTAAAATGAATAAAAGATAAAAAAATAGAGAAAAAGGGAAAAATAGTAAAATGCAAAATATTGAGTAAACTATGAGTTTTAATTGCTTATTACTTTACTTTTAATAAAATGTATTCAGTTGTGTTTGCTGAATTTAATTTTAATTAAATTCAGTGGCCGAAAGCCAGTGGTACCTTAAGTTTGTGTTCACACACATGCATTGTATATTCAAATTCCACTACATTAATCAAAGCTGGCGCTATTAACAGGGAAGAAGAGGCAGCTTGTTTGTGACTAGTTCATGATCCAAGGCTGGGATTATGGGTCTGAGGCATCAGCTTTGTTTTCTCTAAACTTCTATAAATTAAAGGAATTGCAGGGCTGGGGAGATAGCTCAGTGGTCTAAGCGCCTGCCTGGCATGTGGAAGGACACAAGTTCAATCCCTGGTACTGCATGCCATGCCAGGCCTGGAACCCCAGGAGCGCCATGCCGGCCAACAAAACCAGGTGTGGTGGCACATACCTGTAATCCTAGTGCTGGGGAGGCTGAGATGGGGGGATCACTATGAGTCTGAACTGTGTAGCAAGACCCTGTGTCAAATAAGTAAGTAAAAAATGAGAAAAAGGAAAAAAAATATTTGGGGCAGATTTTCAGTGTATGTAATAATTGTGTCTAATCCTTACTCTTTGGTGTTTTTCTTGCTGAAAGGTAGTGCTGAGGTCTTGGGCAGGTGTATACCCAAATGTCCAAATATTGATGAAATATTTATATTGGCTTGAAGATCCTATAAATCACCATGGGGGAAAGATGTATCAAAATAAATGGAAGTCACTTCCATTAAATAAATGGAAGTCCATTTCAGTTAAGTCAATTGTTGAAAGCACCAAAAATAAATAAATAAAGGAGAGTCCCTTGGCAAAAGCCCCCAGACACACACTCCTCAGCATGTACTCTGCCATGGGACCACTTGACAGAGCCCTTTGTGAGGCGAGGGGGGTGTATTGCACAGCAGTGCTGCTAGGTAAGCCCGGGGGGCACTTAACAGCAGCACCCCTGAGGAAGTCCAGCGGTGCTGAGTGGACAAATATTTGCCAAAAATTAGTCAGAGTGTTCAGTGGTAGCTAGCTGGTCTGCAGCACTACAGTTTTATTTGGTGCCCAACTATTGTAGGGAAGGCATTTATTTATTTATTTATTTATTTATTTATTTATGTATGTATTTTAGGGAAGGATCTACAGGGTGCTCAGGGTCTCACTACTACATCAACTTGTAGTGATCTGCCTCTTTACAGCCTCCCAAGAGTGGGGATTACAGGCGCGCGCCACCACACCCAGTCTCAATTGCTGTCTCAGTGCCCCTGAGGGGTGGGGCCAGCATGGCAGGCCCGGGGGATCAAACCCCAGGCCCTTGTGCCTGCTTGCAGGCACTTAGGGAGGGCTTTTAGATGATCTATGAAAATGAGATTATAACACTTAACACATGTTTTAATTGATCAGAGATTTTTCAGTCATGGGACATAAACAACAAGGTACATTTTTATTTATTTATTTATACTGGGAATTGAACTCATGACCTTGGGCTTGCCAGGCAGACACTGTGCTGCTGAGAGATAGCCTCAGCCTACGCATTACACTTATAAAACCAATATTAATCTTATTTTGATCAGCTGGAAGCTTGGGGAGAAGCATGTTTTTAATTTATGTGACATTTACCTGTAAGCTGACTTAATTTACAGACAAATGTGTCAATAAACCAAAAATGCAAAAAATGGAAAAAATCAGTTTGTGAGTTCCAAGCAAAGAGCTACTTACAGATTAGACAGAAAAACAAATAAATATACGTAAGACAATCTGTTTATGAAATCAGGGGGCACTGACATACATTTGGCCAATCTGAATTCTAATATCTCTTGTATAGTCTTCAAGTTTGTAACTATAAACGGACTAGTCAGAACTTTTTTTTTTAGGTCAATTAACAGAGATTTCTTGTGATAAGAATCAGAAGGAATAAAACCTTTCATACCTGTTAAAGAAAAGATAATTATTAAGAAGGGCTCTACACTGATTTTTTAATTAAAAAAATCTTTTGTTTATTTATTTATTTGGTACAGGGTCTTGCTATGCAGCTCAGACTCCTTGTGATCCTCCTGCCTCAGCCTCCCCAGCACGGGGATTACAGGCGTGCGCCACCACGCCTGGTTTCGGTGGCCAGCTCAGTGTGGGGCTTGCATCACATATGGTATCAGGGATCGAACCTGGGTCCTTGCACTTGCCGGGCAGACACTTAGACTGTTGAGCTATCTCCCCAGCCCCATAGGCTGATGCTTTAATCTGAAGAATTTCCAGTTACTCAGGGTACTCACTGCTATTTTCATGTAACTGTTTCTTCTAATGGGAGAAACAGTTAAAGGTAATTTTATGCCTGGCAGCGAGTGGGCCAGACTTGGGTGTAGAAAGAGATTATCTCTCAGGATAGTGGCTTCCTTGCATGGCAAGACACTAGGTCTTGAAAATCCCCCTCATCACAATTTAATTATGAAATGTTTTCCACCCAACAATTAAATAGATTATAGATTCCAGGGTTAACATAATAATGCTTTCAGGGGCATGGGCCAAGCATGTCTGAGATGAAGCACATAACAATCATTAGACTATATTGAACATCTCCCACGTGCAGGGGAGGGAAAGTAAAATGAGAAGTCTAATTAACAGTTGCCTCATCTTTGATGTATAGGAATGACTGGGCTTGGTATCCAAGTCATTGGTAAGTGGGATGTGTCAGTTTCATGACAAATTTCAGGTGGGAGATCCAGCAGAGGAAGTGGTCTAAGGAAGGAGGTACTGGGGATGTGAGTCCAGTAGCCTATCCCTGACACTGGGGTACACACGCTGTGCATACTGTGATAGTCATTAGCAACCAACAGTGTCAGGAGGTGTGCCAGACCCTGATGATCTACCAGTGTCTTGCAGCAGGCATTGTGTTCTCCAGGATCTTGTTCATAATTTCTTTGGCCTCCACCCTTGGTAGGGTTGGAGCCACTGCAGTGAGATTCATCTGTGTAGAAGTCACTGTTGGCAGCCGGACTGGCAGGGCGGCCAACTGACGCCAGCATGGGGACTTCTGTCTTCCAAGCCTTCACACTGGTGATCCGTCTCTTCTTAAAAT